TCATAGATATAGATATAGCAAAGGCAAGAATGAGGCCTGTCAGGGGTAGGCAGAGAGAAGAAGATGATCTTGCCTCTTGGTCTTAGTTTTATTCTTTGAGTTTTCATCTTCTAATTCATTTGCATAAGTTTAGGGCTTCAAAAGCTAAGGGTGCCCTAAAGCTGAGAGCCCTTGACACTTTCCTGGAAGGGCATCCTCTAAATGGACAGTAATATGGTGCACTTGAGCCATCAGAAAGTAAGTAGCAAGCCCCAAGAAAATCTAATCCTAAATAAGAGCTGCCTCTGACAAAGATCTTACCCCTGGTGACCAGGAAATCAAAATAAGAGAACAGAATCAAGTCTAATGTAACTAGGTATAAAGGATAACTCTGTTTCAAAGTGATTGGCACCTGGGTCAAGAAATCTCCTTCTGGACAGGAAATGCTCATTCTAGCCAATGCTGGTAAAATAGATGTATTCCATCTTATTGGGGAAAATATTGTAGGATTTTTTTTCCTCTGGTGTTATCATTAGGTGTCTGAGGGCTCTCTTGCCTTTTAAAAGAGCTGTGCTGTGGGGAAAGGTCTCTGGGTTGTAAGCTAAAAGAGCAATAGTGGCAGAATTTAATCCTCCTCCTATGAGAACGAGGGAGCAGCTAAGCTAAAGATTCCAGCTTGAACCTGGAGCTGAAAGAAGATAGGAACCTCAGATCCCAAAGCACCACTTCTGCTAAAAATGCAGAAAGAAAAGCCTACCTTAGCAGCGCCCTTGAGGCCTTTTAAAGGAAAATGTGTGGTCTCCTGACAGGTGTATGATTTTTGATTAATGACTTGACAGTATGAAGGTCATTTACATAGAATTTTCTGTCCAGTAGGTCCTTGTCAGCTCCAACCACACAAGACCATGTAGGAGTGATGCTGGCCAGAGTCTGCACACCACAGGAGAGCAGCTGAGAGCAGCCCAGACAGCAGCAGCCCAACAATATGGACCAAAGACATTTCCCCTGCACTGTTGGAAGACTGAGCACAGATGTCCTCTACATGTGTGCTTTTTCATAAGTGTCCACGCTTCCCACTGATGGCATGTACTAGTGGCAAACTCTGCCTCCGATTTCTAGGAGAAATGTTCTTATTTCTGTCTTTACTGACCACTTGGATGGCATTCTGCCCATTATCCTCATTCCCTTCTCTCCTACCAGAACTCTATCCTCTGAATGCTCATCCCTGATAAGGGAGCTTTCGCATTTTCTTGTCCAGAAACAGGCCCCCAGGCCATTTCTTTTGTTCTTCTCTTTTTTTAAATAAATAATAATTTATTTATTTTTCATTTTCAACATTCACTTCCATAAGATTTTGAGTTTAAAATTTTCTCCCCCTCCCTCTCCTCCACCCTTTCCAAGATAGTGTGCAATCTGATTCAGTCTCTACTTATATATTCATATTAGGCATACTTTCACATTACGCATGGTGTAAAGAAGAATTAGAACTAAGGAGGAACTGTGAGAAAGAAGAAACAAAATAAAACAATAAAAGAAAAGGAGAGCACATAGTATGCCTCCATCTGCATTCAGGCTAGTTCTTTCTCTGGATGTGGATAGCATTTTCTATCATGAGGCTTTTGGAGTTGTCTTAGGTCCTTGCATTGCTGAGAACAGCTAAGTCTGTCAAAGTCAGTCATCACACAATGTGGCTATTACTGTGTACAATGTTCTCCTGGTTCTGCTCATTTCACTCAGCATCAGTTCATATATGTCTTTCCAGTTTTTTCTGGAGTCCACTTGCTCATTATTTCTTACGCCACACAATACTATTCCATTACATTCACATATCACAATTTGTTTGGCCATTCCCCAATTGATGGGCACTCCCCTCAATCTCCTATTCTTTGCCACCACAAAAAGAGCTGCTATAAATATTTTCGTACCTATGAGTCCTTTTCCCATTTGTATGATCTTTTTGGGATACAGCCCTAGCAGGGCTATTGCTGGGACGAAAGGTATGCACATTTTTTATAGCCTTTTGGGCATAGTTCCAAATTGCTCTCCAAAATGGTTGCATCAGTTCACAACTCCACCAACAATGCATTAGTGTTCCTATTTTCCCACATCTTCTCCAACATTTGTCATTTTCCCATTTTGTCATGTTGGCCAATCTGATAGGTGTGATGTGGTACCTCAGAGTTGTTTTGATTTACATTTCTCTAATCAATAGTGATTTAGAGCATTTTTTGATATGACTATAGATGGCTTTCATTTCTTCATCTGAGAACTGCCTGTTCATATCCTTTGACTATTTATCAATTGGGGAATGGCTTGCACTCTTATATGTTTGACTTAATTCTCTATATATTTTAGAAATGAGGCCCTTATCAGAGACAATGCTTATAAAAATTCTTTTCCAGTTTTCTACTTTCCTTCTAATCTTGGTTGCATTGGCTTTGTGCAAAAACTTTTCAATTTAATGTAGTCAAAGTTATCTGTTTTGCATTTTGTAATATTCTCTATCCCCTGTTTGGTCATGAATTCCTCTGTTCTCCATAAATCTGATAGGTCAACTATTCCTTGCTCTCCCAGTTTGCTTATAGTATCAAGCTTTATATCTAAATCATTTTGACTTTATTTTGGTATATAGTTTGAGATTTTGGTCTATGCCTAGTTTCGGCCGTACTCTTCCAGTTTTCCCCTCAGTTTTTGTCAAATAGTGAGTTCTTATCCCAGCAGCTGGGACCTTTGGGTTTATCGAATAGTAGATTACTATAGTCATTGACTATTGTGTCTTGCATACCTAACCTATTGCACTGATCCACCACTCAGAACAATTTCTAAACAGCATGTTCCCACCAGGTTCATGTCTAAATTCATCTAATGCTGGCCAGGTCACAAAGATCCTGACAGTTGCTCCTTATTGCCAGCTGCAAGACTAGCATTGACTCAACTCCCAAACTCCCAAATGGCTCACTCTCCTTATATTTTGAAACCCACAGGCTCGTCACCTCTAATGTTCCACAATTGCCAAAGTAGTTTTCCTAAACCCCAGGTCTGACCTTGTTCTTGTTCTTCAGTCATATTTCAGTCATGTCCAACTCTTCATGGCCCCATTTGGGGTTTTCTTGGCAGAGATATTGGAGTAGTTTACCATTTCCTTCTCCAGCTCATTTGACAGATGAGGAAACTGAGGCAAACAGGGCAAAGTGACTTGCCCAGGGTCGCACTGCTAATAAGTGTCTGAGGGCAGATGCAAACTCAGGTAGATGAGTCATCCTGACTCCAGGCCAGGGCTCTATCCACTGCACCAGCTAGCTGTCCTCAAGCCCAGCTTGTCTCCCTTCTAGTCCATAAATTCCATTAGGCTCCCTATTACATCTAGAATTAAATACAAGCTCCTTTGTCCAGCATTTAGAGCCCTCCTCCACCTCATCTCAACCCATCTGTCCAGGTTCATTATACATCCCTACCCTTCCACACACACTCTGGAGTCCAGTCTAACCAACCTTACTGCTGCTCATGCACAATATTCCCTGTGTCTCCATGCCATTACAATGGCTATTCTCCATACCTGGAATACTCTGTCTTCACTTCTGCCTCCTTGAATCCCTAGTATCCTTCAAGACTGCTTAAATGTCACCTTCTACATTATTTAACCCCCTTCCACCTCCTAGAGCTTTCCCTACTAAAACTACCTTATATTTGTTTTCTGTGTCTTTTGTATACATATACAGAGCACACAAAACAACATGCATTTTGTCTCATATGACAGAATAGAAACTTCTTAAGGGTAGGGAGTGCTTCAATTTCGTGCCAGTACATTGTGTTGGAAATAACCTCTGGTGTCCAAGCAGACACAGTTAAGTTAGAAAGACTCAGGATGAGTGAAGCAGTTGAAACCTTTAATATGTTCCTGCAGGAAGGGGGTGTGGAACTGGAGATGAGAACACTGGCGACAGAAGCCAGAGCAAACCTTTTATCCCTATTCCCCGCCTCCCCTCGCCCAAGTCCCTCCTACTGACTTTCATTGGTAGAAGTCAGCGCAGTTCATAGACTTCCCGGCAACATCTACCACGTGTTCCCCTTGGTATGTTTACCCTTTCTTCATGCATGGCCCTTTCAGAAAATGGCTTTTTAACCCCCACCTCACTCCCAGAGGTGGAGAAGTGAGTATTCTTGAGCCTATTAAGCAAGTGCCCTCTAAGTAAAGCTTAACCTTTTTTCTACTGTCAGTCTCTTTAACTACACAGCCAATTTCACCCCCCTTTTAACTGGTTCTTAAGCTCCGCACCCAGAGCTACTTCCTACTAATTTTCTCATATGGAAATATAATCTTTTCTTACTTCTCACAATTGCCTGGCACATAGTAGGCAACTTTAATAAATGTTTGTAAATGGATTGCTTATATAATCAAATCAACTCCACTTGACTCCCAACCTGGAAGAGTTAAGAAAGCCGCGTTTGTCTGGAGTACTACAGCCTAAGGCCATGTCCCACCATCACTGTCAAAATCCAGCCAGGATATTGGAGTTCAGGAATATCAGATCATGTCTTTGTTATCTCTCTCTCTCTCTCTCACTCTGTGTCAGTCTGTCTTGTCTCTCTGTCACTCTGTGTCTGGGTCTGTGTCTGTCTCTGCCTCTGCGTCTTTCTGTCTTTCTCTCTGTCTCTGTCTCTCTCTGTCTCTGTCTCACTGTCTCTCCCCCCAACCCAATTGTCGGGCGTAGGAGGTGCAGGACGGATTAGTGACCGCACTCTGACTACTTTATCTTCTCTAGAAAAACTCTTGGTGCCACTAGTCCAGGAAGTGGGATGGGGGAGGGGTGCGGAAGAAAGTGGGGGGGGGAGGAGGAGTTTGGGTATCCAGGGGCAGGTTCCAAGCCTGCAGGAGTTGTCCTGTGCGTGACGTGCAAGCCCAGTTAGTGAGGGTGCACCCGGCGTGATGGGCCAAGGCAGATTGGTGAGGTTCAGTCTCAGGAGGTGACGTTCAGTCTCACTGGTACTCTACAAAAACCGCGTTTCCTGTTAGCCTCTTGGAGCCGAATAGGGCTGGAGGGCGGGGACAGAGGCGGAGGGGACGGGGCCAGAGCCCGAGGGGGCGGGGCCAGGGCGGGGAAAGCAGACGACCGTAGGCATCACGCGGGGTTGGTGGCTGAGGCAAGTTTCAATGGAATTGTCCCGCGAGTGAGGTCCGAGACAGATCAGCGGAGGTCAGTCCGAGGGGAGGTGGTGAGGCGGCTGGCGGGGGTCGGTGAGTGAGCTCGGCTCGGGCCGGTGAGCGTACTGGAGGGAGACCCGGCTATCCTGTCCGCTGGAGGGGAGGGCCGGCGCAGGGGACGAAGGGCAGTCTGTGGCCGGAGCAGCCGCAGGGGAAGCACTCCCTGGGCCCTCGCGGGCTCCTGGCTACGGAGCGGAGGCGGCGGCGGCGACAGGACGGCCAGCAGCATTTCACCCGAAACTCAGCGGATGTCGGGAGTTAAGCAGGGTCGGCCTGCTCAGGGTTTGGTTGGGAGACCGCCTGGGAATACCGGGGGCTGCGGGCTTTTTCCTTTCCTCCAGTCACACCTGACCCGCGCCGCAGAGCGAGGCGGGGTCCCGAGGCCGAGAGACCCCAGACAAGTGGAGGGGGATTCCCCGCCTCCGGGCCGCCGGCCCTTCCACTCTGACCAGCGAGCCTGGGGCTCTGGGGGACCCGGGGGCCCCGGAACACTGCTAGGGAACTTCAGTAGAAGATAGAGGGGGCAGGGAAGTCTTCCCAGGGCTTTACGTGAGTTCCTCTTACGTGATCTGTATAACAACCCTAGGAGTTGGGTGCTGTTATTATCTGCATTCCACAAATGAGGAAATCTGAGATTTACACTCTAGTGCGCCTCACTCCAGACTGGGTGCTCCATTCCATGCCTCTAGCAATGGGGACAGGGGTGGAGGGAAGGAGGAGGGTTACTAGTGTGGCTAAGAGGGAGATGGCAAGATGCCAGGGTAGGTGCTGGTTGGTGGCTGGAATGTGAAGCAGGGGGCTGGCTAGGTAGAGCTAGAGAGATACAGGGTTAGGTGAGTTTGCTCTCTCTCATCCACCCACCAGTCTTGACGATTCAGGCCCAAGGCTGAGTTCTAAAATTGATCAGATGAACTGGGGGAAGAGGGAGGTTAGAAACAAGGTCTCTAGAGAGAAGGGGGAGGAGTTTCAGGGGGAGGAAAGAAGAGGGAAAGCCCATTGTCAGGACAGTTAATAAGATGTCCCTGCCTCCTAGTGGATTTCTGGGTTGGATGTAAAGAGTAGACTGGGCTAATAGGAGATAGCACTCACTATTTAGTTTGGAGTGTGACTGAATGAGTGGGAATTCATGTAAAACCTTTATGCAAATACAGGAAGCACCAGAGCAGGAGGCTTGAACCATTTACTAAGGAGGATTCCCAGAGCACACGGGCTACAGCAAGTGTTTGATTTCATGGGTCAGATATGGAGCCTGTCCCTGTTACTCTTTACCTTGGTTCTGCTGAATTCTCTCAGTCAATTCACAGGTGAGTAATTGCACTCAACTAATCCTGCCCAAACTCTGGGCCTCTCTCCTGGGGTTGGCGAACTTGGGGGAGGAAGTTGGAGAGAGAGGAAAGAGGAGAAGGAAAGGAGGGAAGGGAAAGGCCCACAGACTTGGAAATAGCAAGGTCCACACAGGAGAAAGAAGAAGGGAGGCCATGAAGGGTACAAGGTGAAGAAGCAGCTGGACACCCTTACTCTCCTCACAGATGAGAATCCAGCTCCAGGGGTCTGAGGGCCAGAGACCTGAGGATAGCTGGAGGAGATCAGGCAGGACTAGGCATGACTCCACTGAGCTATGTCACCTGCACTGCTTAACAGCAGCTGTGTACTGCCAACTGAGGTGCCATCTTAGTGTAGATTTCACAAACACAAGTCCTGAGCCCTTTTTTGGCCCCCTTGTTGGGGAGAGGCTGGGCTGGGACTGCCCCAGATGGAGGCATGGCCTTTCTATGTGCCCGCATCAGTAGACTTTCCTCCCTTTATTAATGTAGCTCATCAGCCACACTGAAGTGATCAACCTCTGAAGCAGCCTTGGCCCCAGTGCCTTGGCCCTGCAGGCTTGGAAGCTGGTTCATTAATAAGGACTAAGGGAGAGGGGCTTGGTAAGGATGAAGGAGAGCAAAGAAACTTAGGGTTGAGAGATGGAGGTAACCTTAGAAGCCACTGAGTCCAACCCAGACTTGAAAAGAAATCCTGCCATGACATACCTGACCAGAATGCATCTAGCCTTTGCTTGAAGGCCTGCAGTGAGAAGGAGCCCATTCCTGCCTCCTGAGATGACCCATTCTTCTGGTTAGCCCTGGTGGTTAGGATATTTTTTTTAGTTACCTAAAGCCTAAATTTGGTCTTCCACCCATCTATCCATCCCTCTTAGTTCAGGCCTCTACAGCCAAAAATAATAAACTCTTCCTATACAGTATAACCTGGGGAATGATATATATTTATAAAGATAGATATGTCTATATGTGTATTATCCAATATATCATTAATATATATATGGGTTTATGTGTGAATGTATGTATAGGGTGTCCCCAAAACAGCATTAATGGCACATTATAGATGGATCGATAGATATGCATGTATGTCTATGAGTTTGTATTTAAAATATATGTGTGTTATACACACACATATATACATATCTACTTATATACACAAATATGTTAATATCAGGTAATCTAAGCTAAGAGAAAAATAATTAGTTGGGGGAGGGTACAGGTTGAAAAAAGAGAGTTACAGATAACTCTAAGGTTGAAGTCCTGGGTTACTGGGCAGCATGTTGGTTCTTTGGCAGAAATAGCAAACTTTGAGGAAGAAGAAGGCTGGGATGTGTTAGTAATTATCCTTCTCTTGAGCATACTGAGTTTGAAAAAGAGAAAGGCCATCCAGGCCATCTCTAAGCCTACATTTCCTTTTTCCTTCCTTGGTAAGTAAAGTGTGATTTGTTCCTCTCCCCTGCCCAGGCAGGACTGCCAATGGCACAGGTACTTGCATCCCTACAGGTAAGGGGTTCTGCCTGAAGAGGGTGTGAGGAGGTTCCATCTTCTTCCAGATAGGCACAGACTTAGGAATTGAGATGGGAGAGACTGCAAAAAGGACTCAACTTAGAGTCACAGGGCTTGAGTTCAATTGCTGTCTCCACATCTTATGAGCTGTATGACCTTTAGGGCAAGCTCCTTGAGTCTTCAGTTCCTCATCTTTAAAATGAGGGGACTGAACTAGATGGTTTTTATTATCTCTTCTAGGTGTAAATGAATGACCCCATGACCTGGCCTTTTAAGTCAATATTCTTTCCATTACTAAGATGTTATGCCAGCTTAATCTGTGCTATCATGGCAAGTTAACCCTACTTCTGAAATAAACATTTATTTAGCACCTACTATATGCCAGGCACTGTGCTCAATGCCTACAAATAGTATCTCAATTGATCCTCCCAACAAACCTGTGAAGTAGATGCTCTTATGATGCCCATTTTGCAGCTGAGGAAACAGGCTAAGTGACTTAGCCAGGTCACATACCCAGGAAGTGTCCAAAGTTAAACTTGAACTCAGGTTTTCCTGACTCTCCATCCACCTGTTAGAGCTATATTGTCTGTGTGACCCTGAACCTAACCTCCCAGTGTCCTCCCCTCCCTATCTCACCCAACCCAGGAAATACTCTTCTACACTGTCCTAGGCTTCTGCCTGGGATCCTAGACCTGGAGCTGGAAGGGACTTTAGGGGTCATCTAATTCACTTGCCTCATTTTAGAAATATGAAAGAAAGAAGAAATAAGATAGAGTCCTAGAAAAGGGAAGTGACTTGACTCCGGTCACAGAGTAAGACAGGAGCAGAGGTAGAATTAGAACCTGGTCCCAGCACAGAGATCTCACTTTACCACACTGCCATCCCCACTGAGAATGGTGTTCAGATGCCCTGGTACCAAACGAATGCTCTGACTCCAATTCCACTTCATTTTCTAATAGGTCATAGCACCCACCACGTGAGCTGAGACTTGAAGGAAAGTAAGCAGTCAGATGGGGCAGCTAGGTGGCGCCATAGTGCCCAGAGTACTGGGCCTCAAGTGAGGCAGATTCATCTTCCTGAGGTCAAATCCAGCCTCAGACACTTACTAGCTGTGTGACCCTGGGCAAGTCACTTAACCCTGTTTGCCTCAGTTTCCTCATCTGTAAAATGAGCTGGAGAAGGAAATGGTAAAAACCACTCCAGTCTCTCTGCCAAGAAAACCCCAGATGGGGTCAGGAAGAGTCAGACAGAACAAACAACTGAACAACAAAACAAAGGGTTCAGATAGATGCAAGCCAGGTGTGCTGTTGGGCCTGAGGAAAGACCGAAATGGGAAGTGGAATGAAGACTTTGGGAGGAGCTAAGAGTCATTTTGTGTGGAATGAGAAATGTATAAAGAGGAAGAAAGAACAGGAGAAGTCTGGAAAGGGATCAGATTGTGGAGACTCAGGAGGTAATATGCTCCTCCTGGAAGCAACCAAACCTTCTCCGCCCATCTCCCAACCCTGGGTGTTTTGGAGCCAGGGAAGGGAATGGGCAGGACTGTGCCTTGATTACTTTGTCAGCTCAGGGGAGGATGGATTGGAGAAAGAAGAGAGAATAGAAGCAGGGAGATGAATTAAGAGGCTATGACAATAGTCCAGGTAGAGGTGCTGAGAACCTGGCCAAGGGAAGCCACGTGAGCAAGAATGGATTATGTAGGAGAGAGGCTGAAGTGGGAGAAGAGACAGGAGTTGGTGACCACTTAAGCCATGGACGGCAGGAGAGGGAATGTCAAGGCTGAAGCTAAGGCTCCCTACCTGGGGGACTGGGCTCATGGTGGGCTCCTCAACAGAAGGAGGGAGGCCTGGAGAAGAGTCAGATTGGAGAGAAACACAAGGACTTTTATTTTATAATGCCTCTGAGAGGCCTGTGGTACATGCAGGTCCTTCCTCAGGACCTTTCTCCATTTTTTATTCCCTCAGGTAAGTAAAAGGCCACCTTTCCTGTGCCCTTATGACTCTTGTTTCCATCTTGTCACAGGCAACTTCATCTCAGAAGGGGTGTCGTCTCTGAACAGGAACCGGGGAGAGGATGTTCTGCTCCATCTAGACCCAAAAGTCGGAAATGAGACCCAGAGGATTAAATGGTATTTTGTATCTAAGGATCTGCTCCTACTCGCCATCTCTCCAGGGAAGAGCAGGCCAAGCTGGATCATTCCCCAGAAGGAGTATGAGGGGCGGCTGTCTGCCCCTGATGATAAGTCTCTGATGTTAATGGATGTGACCTCTGAAGACAGTGGATGTTATGAAATTCACATATCATCAGTCTCAGGAGACATACATATTCAGAAATTCAATTTAACTGTCTTTGGTAAATGAACCACTTGCCCTCTTTTGGACCCCACCCTGCTGTCACACACTTGTACACTTTTAAAAGCTTCCTTCCACTCTCCCTCCTTCAGATCTTTCCAAAACCTGTCTTGCCCTCCAATTTTGTGCCTTAAGAAAGGAAGGAGGGGCAGAGGTGCTTTTTCCTTATGAAAGGGGAAAGTGGGTGGCAGAAACCTGAGGCTAGAAGGCCTGTCCCAAGGTCACACACCCATGAGCCAGCCCAAAGGAATGAATAGGACTGCCTGAATTACAGACCTACCTTCCCTGGAGAACCACGTAAAAGTTACTGAGCTCCTCAGTCACTCAGTCCTTCCTCAGCCCTCCCCCTGGGAATTTCTCTG